ATATGGTATTGACTGATCTAGTGTTTGTACTTTCAGATGTTAATATTGCTGGAGAACACAATGTAACACCACTGCATATTGCAGCAAAATATAACCAGTTGGCAGCTGTACGAGTTTTAATAGCTTGTAATGCAGATGTCCAATCTGGTGATATTAATTTAAATACACCGCTACATTATGCTGCCAAAGCTGGCCATCAGGATATCTGTAAGGTTAGTAGACTAGCAGTAGCACTATATTGCATAAGAATACTTCATCACTTGGCCTATGCTTATTTTTTAATCACAAACATTAGAAATATTGAGTAAAGTAGAAACTTTAATATCTTAAAATTTTAAATTAATTGAGTATAAGCTAAATTTTAATAGCTGATAAACTACGTATCTGAAAATTAACTTTGACTTAGTGTAAGAGGCAATTAAACTCAGAGTAGACTCCTGCAATACTTAATAATATATGGAGAATATTTACCTCATTCAATTTTATACAACATAAGAAATCACGAACGATCAACAGGATATTTTTTTGTACATTGACAGGAGTTATTATATGGTAATTAAAACTGATTAGTAACAGTACAAGTTCGTGCGGTTGTAGTTAAAGCTGATACTAGATTACATTCAATACAACAAATTATTCTGTAAATAAACATTAAGTAGCACAAGTATCAAAAAATTACTTATCAAATGTCTATGTTTATGACTACTACTGTTTTATTAATTAGATATCCAACCACTAATTTTATACTTTATTTACAATAGGCAGAGACTAGTCATACTTACCAAAATTTCGTAAACCCAGAGATTTCTTTTGCATTATTACTTTGATGCAAAGTTAGCTTTGAACAATACAGTAATACCTCACTATTTTTTACTACAGGAACTGTTAAATAACCAGCCGTTTATGATCGACAATAAGAATAAGAAAGAAATGACAGCGTTGCATCTTGCCTGTATTCACAACAGAAATTTCGTCTGCTCCTATCTGGTATTCACGCCATTCTAAATACTTGTAGATTAATTGGCTAGTAAACCTATTTCCAACAGTTATAAAACTATAGCTAATGTATTGTTACTGCAGGTTGAAAAAGGTACTGATGTAACCACTAAAACTGAAGATGGTAGCATACCAATCCACATAGCCGCCAGTAGAGGCAATACAGAGCTAATGGAAATATTTCTTGACGCCGGAATGAAAAACTTGATAGCGCGCAATGATCACCTTAGCAGACGTAACTACGATGGGGCATCTATTCTTCATCGAGCAGTTCAATGCGGACAGGAAAAGGTTATATCTAGCCCATGTAAAAATGATATCATAGCTATTGTTTACCAAAATAAAATCAAGCGAACTAAATCTTTACAAGTAGATTTCTAAATAACACTCCAGCTAATCCTAATTAAATAAACTCTGATCAAATTTTACAACGGCTAATTTATTTTTTAGGTAGTCATGTTCTGCTTGAATGAAGGTGTCGAAACTAATGTTTGTGATGTAAGTAGCGCAGAATATACAAAGTATCACTAAGTTTAATATTGTACAATATCGTAGTTTTATTCTATCAAATTCTTACATTGCGAATAATTTTGAGTGGAACGTATAATTTTAATTCATATAACGCTATCAATGTCATGAAGTTATTGCTATCAATATTACTATCTACTTATAACTTAAACTTTGAAGATCTTCGACGATCACTAACTCATCGGCTGATAATTAATTATTATTGATGAAAAAAATCGCTATTCATGTATTACTACAACTACGTATTTATACTAATAGCAAACATTATACGTTGTAATAATGCCTAGAAAAATGGTCTGACTCCTTTACATATAGCAGCAATCAATGGAAATGATTCTATTAGTAGAATCTTACTGACGAAAAGATCTACAATCGATGCACGCGATAATTATGATCGCACACCGTTGCATCATGCCACTTCCCTAAATCGATTAAATATTGCAGAAGTTCTTATTAATGCAGTATGTATATTATAAAACTATCCTATCAATAAAAAATATGTGCCTAAATTGCCAGAAATTCATCTAGCTTTGCTACTTCTCTAAGTCTCTGCTAGGGTATTAGCGATACTCATAATTCGATAGAAAATAGCTAATATTATCAAAATTAGAACTAATTTTATATACCTGAATCGTATAAATTTATTATTAAAATACATCGAAATTGATAAAATATTTCATAAACAAGCATCACTTAATAGTACGATAATTCTTCTTGTATTTTGTTAGGGCGCCGGCATTAATATTTCAGATAGCAAGCAAACAACTCCCTTACTTTATGCAATTGCAAATAACCATTTACAATCTGCTCAGCTCCTAATCAATCACAACTGCAGTATCAAGGCTGTCGATCAATTCGGTCGAAATTGCCTTCACATAGCAGCTATTGGAAGTGATGATGACTTAAACTTACTAGAGTATTTACTCTCGGTAGGTAACCGAATTATACTTAGCGCTCATTAAATACCGAATATTTTATTGTGTTCGATAGCATAAAGAAACAGGATATTAGGAGAACTGAAATTTCTTTTTCTTCATACAGATACTAAATTCTACTTGACAGTTTAAATATGTACTATAGTACCGTTTTCTATTCTACTGCAATTGTCAGTTCATAACCATTAGCCTATTCTTAGAATGAAAGTGATCAATTTGATCAAACAATACTTTATAACCTATCTGTTATTTTGGAGGTTTTGAATTATTTCACAATTAAGTTAGCTATTGGCTATCGATAAAGATAAAGTTCACTTTTATAGATAGATGGAGCTCCAGATATTAATTCTAGGGATAATTATGAACGAACGCCAATGCATTACCTTTGTAACAGAGGGAATATAAAGGTTACAATTGCTATAACTTCCTTTCGAGGCGTAACCATTTACCAATTATCTTGCTAAGCTTATACTAAAAATTTATTCCTATCAGGGAGTGGAAGTATTATTAAATTATGAGCCAGATTTAAGAATATTAGATGAAGATGGTAATAACTGTTTGCATGTAGCTTGCAAGTAAGTTAGCTTAGAAATTAGCTATAAAAGATCCATGAGTCATAATATTTCTTTCGTGTCCGTTACGTCTGTAGTTGTAAAATGTGTGGAGTAATGTGCAATACTGTTGTGGTACTGGTACACCTTGTAATATCACTTCATGATATTCATAGATAAAGTCGGGTACAACTTAAATAAAATCACTTCTTGTCTATTCGTTAAGGCATATTACTCGTCACAGAGCAGTTCTTAACAGTGTCAATTATTTGTTTCCTTGATCAGAGTTACAGACACAGGTGAATGGGTAGATATTACTACTAGCTAGTAGATATATCATTCAGTACCTTTCTAATTGCTTACAATATATAAAAAATGCTATAAATTCTCCAGAACTTACAGATTCGGGTTTCAATTACTATCGATATTAGAAATATTCTAAGGTAGTTTATCATCATTCGTAACTTTGCACGCACGTACCTCAAGAGAGTATTGTACGCAGATAGATGGCGCTGTAAATATATTTTAATAATACAGATACCTTTTCTTTAATTTTTTTCATTTTGCGCAATTTAAAGTATCGGTAATCATTTCCTGTTTAATTTACTTCCGAATTACTGTACACCTGTATTTAATCTTGCAAATGGTTATACTATTAACCTTGTTCTAGGCTAGGAGCCTTGGATATCGTTAAAGTCTTATTGAACGACTTTCCTCGTCTAATGTGTAGTGAAGGAGAAGGCAGCAGTAGTTCATTGCATATCGCTGTTTTAAATAACAACTTGCATGTCGCTAAGTTTCTAATAGAACGAGGAGCCGACATTAATCGAAGGTAAATTTAAAACTTCTATTATCTATGTTACTTACAGTTATTGGCAGCGTTTATGTACACTAGGATTCAAAGATATCTTACTTTGTGTAAAATAATATGAAACTATAAACGTATCATTACCTGTATAACCTATTTTGAATATAAGGGATGGCAGCTATCGTACTCCATTAGATATCGCCTGCAGTAATGATTATATACAAATTGTTAAAATGTTACTTAAATGCGATGCTTCCATTAATGATACCACCAATCAATGGGAGGTAAATATATTGCATGCATTATCCTTTGGCCTATTAGATAGCTATATGGGTTATTATTATTTTCCATAATTATCAACTGGATTAACGCATTCTATGGCTTTATCTATAATCAGGAATCAGCGTTGCATATAGCAGCACGATATGGCCAAGCTGATATTGCAAAGTTATTATTAGATCATGGAGCAGATGCGATGATAGAAAATAGTGATGCCAAGAATTGTTTAGAGATTGCAATTCAGCAGTGCCAAAAGGATGTAGCAATCGAAATTGCAACAAGTTCATAGTAAATCATAGTCTATTTCAATGCTTCAATTTTTTCGATATATTCACTTTAAAGTTATGTTGTATCATTACAGAATAGCCAATGCTATAGAATAATACAAGCCTATAGTGAATATTTTTCGAGTGGTATTTGTATTAATTACTGGAATTTTAAACTATTTATAGTAGCCGAGAAATTTTGACCAAAGTAGGATCCGATAAAATAACAACGATGCAAAGCATAATTCAGTGGAACCCAGACGTTGCAGCTGTTAGTTGACTCGTATAATTGTACTTCTTCATTTTGGGAGGCAGTTTAAAAAATTAAATTGTAATGTATGGACTGTATAAAGCTAGCAGGATATAGTGATTTTTTCCTATGTGTGGAGATAAGTTGCGTTGAGTTAGTTTATAATATTAAATTGCGATTTATAGATTAAATACGGCTAGCAGAGTACATTGATTTTTCCATTATTTGGAGATACGTAGCATTCTACGCTAAATTTTGCTTTGCAACTCTGGTGCTATTGCCTGAAATCATACAATACGATCACATTCACTCTTGTAAAATTATACCACCTTTATTATTACATCATGTATTAAAGATATCTACTTCATTGATGTTATCTAGATCATCATGGATAAGTATATTACCAAGATTCCAATAAGTACCAGCGATTCTAAAAGTGTCATCTCAGTATGTTCTAAAATTTAATTGCAACATATAATCTGATATTATCAATAAGTGCTAAAGAAATAGAATTTTTAAAGCTTATTCTAAAATTAACGCTAAATTTTGGTAATGCTGAAGATAGACTAACACTAGCGACGTGTACTTTGAATAACTTTTTAGTGTCAACTTAGTACTAGGGACAGCTAAAAGTTAGTTAGGCCCGACAGAGTTTTAGTGATAGTATACAAAACTGCTGCGTCTTAGCAAAATAGTTTAAAATAAGAAATCATTTAATAAAATCATGTAATTTTATGAAGGTAGAATACGATTTTACAATACTAGACCCAGGAATCGAGTTTGAGGATACTCACAACTTCCCGAATGGAACAGGTAGTTTCAACGCTCTTAAGGTACAGGAATAGCCTATCACCCTTTTATCATTGTTCGAAGCTATTTCTAGTTAATTTTAACTCCATAAAGCTTATATTATACAAAAAATATCAACTTTTATCATTGTTCAACTAAATTTTATCTCATAGACAATTGTATCTTCCAAACATAACCGTCTGCTAGAGCACCCACTACCTGCTAAACTTCTCGATACAAAATGGTAGATCACTACTTCTTTCACAAATAATTATCAAAATACTTATTCAGAATTCAGTCATTCTTAAAAATGTCAAGTATCATTTTAACGTTTCCTAATTACAATATAGGTCCAGATTTGGTCGTCATGTTTATTGGAGCAACTTAGCCGTTTATATTTCCTTTGTCTTTGCATTTAGCGTCTATGTTATAGAAGTAACAAGATACAAGCAAAGCTTATTTCCAGAGGTTAAATTCATAGGCTTTGAAAGAAATAGTTCAGTAAGCACAGTTAAGCCATCTACAATTCCATCCACTGTCAATCATACTACTCATAATCCAATCAACACCACAACGATTGATGTGGTAAGTTTAGTTCTAAGTCCTTTGTCGATTTGGCAGGCTTTGTAGCGTTTCTAAATCTACTGTAGAGTGATAAATTCTATTAGTCGACAGCTTTTCGGAGTATCTTCCATTGAATAATATTTACATTAATCCAGGTAAATAATCAATATTATAATTTTTTAACTCAGGTCTTACAAGAAAAGATACCATTGCTAATTTTCCTTCGAATGTGGATCGGTATATTTTCGGGAATCAACATATTACGAGAGATCTTTCAACTTTACCAAGAGGTAAAAGCTATATGATTGGAATTGTTTATGATTAAACTATTCAATTCTTAGAAGTATCAATTGAATTAATAAATAATTTTTAATTATAAGAGATAGAAGATGGAATTTAGAAAATATCAAATCTAATTTGTTTCACTTTACAGCGTCTTAATTATTATTTAAACCGAGAAAATTACGTGGAACTCGCATTGCACATCATAGTCCTCCTATTTATTACCAATTCTAACCTTAATGGATATTTTTGGTGTATCGGAAGCTTAGCTATTCAACTCTCTTTCATGGATTTAGTTTTATTTTTAAGAAAGTAAGGATAAGAATAGAACGCTTACGAGTATGGTTAAACCAGCAGCTCTGTTAATCCGTTAGTCCTTCTCTTACAGAAATTATTTTTAAACCAGTACGATATTCTTCTAGTAATTGTTGTAAATATTCATGATTATCATCTCTAGGCTTCCGTATATTGGGAAATATGTAGTTATGATGCGATCTGTAGCTATTACTGCTTTAAAGGTATATGTATATATTGGTAGACATAAGTAAATGTTGATAAGCTACTGCAATATAAAATCTTTACTAGTTGCTCCACTCGGTTGTTCAAGATTTTTATTTACTCCGTTATTGCAGCTTTACTATTACAGTAAATTTAATACGCAATAGTAAATTTGAATTTTTTTGATCATTTCGATTAAAATTATCGATAATCGATTTTTGATTTAGGTTACTATCATTGCTGTCATTCTGATGGTAGGGTTCGCTATTAGCTTTGGTATGCTTTGTAATCAACAGGTTAGTAAATATTCTATTGACTGATATTTGGCATTAGCTTTACATACATGATGTACAGCACTATATTTGCTAAGGTTAATATGTAAAAATACTAAGATCAGAACTTTACTCAAGACCAATTAGAACATCAAACAGATACAAGTATACCCTAGTGCCGTAATTCCTTATTGGAGATCAATCTGTTCAAAGCGTTTGCTTTTTTAAACTTTTACAAGTAGTCTTATATACTTTTCCAGCTATCACGATGATAACGAGAATTAATAATTAAGCCAACTCACCATATATTTGAAAATAACCGCCAAAATACAATATAGCATTCTTACTGATTAATCAATTTGCCTTATAAAACTAGGATTGCATAAAAAATACCTAATGTTCTGTTATCGCGTTATTTCGAAATAAAAGCGACAGTAGTAGGAAGATAATTATTTATTCATCAGTTATGATTGCATAGACTTTGCATTCTGATGACAAGATTTGTACTTTCTATGCAGATAATTTCAGACAATCACAGATTGTCAGTTTATTCAATTTCTATTCGTATGTAACAGAGCTTGCATAAGTAAAATAGAAATACAATTAAAGAAGCCCATAAGCGAATTTCTAATATTCACTTTATGTAGGCGGCTTTCCACACTTTCGGATTATCATTTACTAAAGTTGTCGATATGACGGTTGGAGAAATCGACTACGATACGTTATTATCCGGTATAAGTACTGGTGTCATAACTTATCCGAACAGCTACGTGCTAATTCTCGTTCTAATGGTCTTCATTTTCTTAATGCCTATCCTAATTATAAATTTAATGGTGAGTTATCAACACGAGCATAATTCTAAGATAAAAATAACGTTACTGTGTTATCGCAACATTCTTAGTTTCACTTATCAGAGTTATACAAATGCTACCTTTACATAGCGTGTACCACTCTGCGCGCATATACTTACGTGTAATTTACTATGTATTGCACATTATTTAATGACATTTTGGCCGTTAGCGTACATCAGGAATAATATGATTTGAGTTAGTTACAAGTAGAAATCTTCATTATCCGATTTCATAGGTCGAAACTAGCCTATTATAGTCACTTAAATTATTGCAAATAATTAGTTACTAGCCATTCGAAATCTGTTATGATATTGTACTCTTTGAATCTGCGATTTTGCCTTGTATAGATTGGCTTAGCCGTTGACGACATTGCTGAAATAGAGAAGGCGGCTGCTCTTCAACGGTTAGCCGATTTAACCGAATTCTTCTATAATATCGAAAGAGCAGTACCTACCTACTTTCGGCGATTTTTTGCCTTAGATAAAATCACTTGTATGGAAACTAAAAGAAACGGTGTAAGCAACACTGTCTCATAGTAAAATGATAGATTTAACATACTTAAATATCTATTACAACTACTCTTTAACCATAAAGTACCACTTTTACTGGTAATATATCAATCAGTGATGATCAGATTATGTATTGAATTTCTAGAATATGATTAAAGAGGATAAGAAGGATTTGATACAAGATCGCATTAATTTCATTCGAGACATAAATGACAAGCTGGAATCACAAGATTTAAAGTAATACTGTAGTACAACATAATAAATATTTTTATTAAATACCTATCTTGAAAACCATAATTCGTTCATACCTATATTTATGCTATTTCAGGTTAGAAAATCTGGATTTACAGTTTGATATCATTCAACAAAATCTTGAAAAACTACTTCATCAATCATCACGAAATGATTGAAGGCCACTAATTGATTGATTTTTTCTAAGATTATTGTTTAATATATTAATAATATGCACTTTAACATCACAAATTGGTTCTAAATGGATTATCTGTTTTCAGTAATTCCTGTGTCTTTATTTTTTCTTATTTCCTAACAATAACGAACAAAAATTACATTATTTATCACTATTACTTGCAATTATACGTATTATTATTATAATAAATGGCTTCATCATACGAATATACTTGATAGACTTGATATAATATTATTTATTACCTATTTATTTATGCCATTCTGACATGTTACGAAATTATAAAACCATTCCATCAAGTGAATATATTCAAATAATTTAATTTATAGTTTTATTCAAATCTTTAATTCTTTGCACGTTTCCTTAAATGATACCCGATATGAATAATTCCATCATGTGAATATCTAATATTACGCGATGCTATACCTGCGTATAGCTCGTGACTGATTTCTAACTACGGTATGGTACGGTATAGTACTGAAGATGTAATTACTGCTGTATAAAACATAAACATATATAGCTGTATGTTATAATGTTATATATGTTTATACCGCAGATGCGCTGATATGTGTTTTGTAAGGTACTTTTCTGATATGAATACAAAGCATCAGTTGCGCTGACACTGTTAGTCTGCTACTGATAAAGATAGTTTTAGTTTAGTAGCAGCCTACTTGCTCAGCTCTTACATACTGCACAGTAAGCTAGACCACATACGATACTGTATGCTACATAAATCAGTTAACTTAATTATTAAAGAGAGAAAAGTACGCACTATGCGCCTCTTGATATTGCACATTCACGTTACTACAGTTTCATTTATTGCTAGTAGACCCTCGCTCGTTACACTGCGCGTACTATACTTAATAGAAGATCATAAAATTAATTGAAAATTTACAGCGCTACGTAGACTGTAGTGCTGTACTGCATCTTTTAACTTACTGTAAGATTTCAAGAAATCAAGATTGAAATTTAATTTGATATATTTTTTTATGTCGTTATAAGTTATAATGATCGGAATACTGTACTCTAATAAATAAAAATAGTACGCGTATATGCAGTATCTTAATTATAATCAGATAGATTTGTATGTCCATACATATAATGTGCTCAGTCATCAACAGTATCCTACCATATTCTGTGCGAAATATATCAAGCGAGCTTACTAGTGCCCAATCTAAATGATACGAACAGTACTAAAGGGATTGAAAGTTTTGAAACTAAATTAAAAGGTAATTCATGGCCCAAGTATACAGGTATAGCATTGTTTAGAAACAGTGTCGTGTTAAGCAGTATGTTGTACCTATAGTATCTTGTAATATATAGACTTCCTCTGGTAGTAATACGTACTGTAGTGTTCGATGGCAATGTCTTTCTTGGCTTGAATTAGTAGACAAGAGACGCTTTTCAATTAGCTAGTACTGTACTGTGCCATATACTGAGCAAATCACATGCACAGTGAGCCATCATATTACACCATATATATTATGCAGTAACCGAGAACAGGTATAGTAATATCGAGTAGTCGATAGTAAGGTCTCCCTTGGCTTAAATTAGTAGACAAGAGACGCTTATGGACCGTATACCGATGAAATGGCATGCACAATTCTAATTAGCGATCATACTACACCATATATATTATGCAGCAACCGAGAACAGGTGTAGTAATATCGAGTAGTCGATAGTAAGGTCTTCCTTGGCTTAAATTAGTAAACATGAGACGCTTATGGACCGTATACCGATGAAATGACATGCACAATTCTAATTAGCGATCATACTACACCATATACATTATGCAGTAAGCGAAAACAGGTAAAGTAGTATCGAGTAGTCGATAGTAAGGCCTTCGTTAGCTTGAATCAATTAGAAATAGTAGGAGTTTAAGCTTTAGCAAGTGTGTGAAAAGTGAACGTCCAATCGTCCATGACCAAATCAATTCAACATAAATTTCAACGAATGACGTCATATGCTCCTATTGATTGACATTCAGTCCGTCATTCGTCTATACGGGTTATGGCTATTCTCTTCCTCTTCTAGCCTTCGGTACTATAGTGCCGCTACTATACAGTAAACTTAGATGGATTAACCTAGACTCTTATAAGACTAACATCTGTGTTGATATACGAGTTGATTATTGACTTGTTTGTTTTGTTTTCTAGCCTCAGTTGGCTTGGCTTCAGCCGCGTAATAATACAACAATACAATCCGCCAACTGCTTGATTTTCAAACGATTCACTCTACAGTGTTCGTGTACACTGGCTTCAGCTACAGGAAGGATCGTGCTCATTTTAGTTGACTTGAACCATTCTAGGAAAGGGCTTGTTCGATCATTGCTACCTCTAGTATAGAGTCAGGAAGAAGATTGGCGAGAAAAATTGATGGTCTTGGAAAATAAATCTTCCATGTAAGTCATTAATAACGACATGTACACTGGTACAATGTACTTTAAATCAATTTTTCTTATGTTAGGTCCATGATTTAAATGAATTATCGCAATAGTAATATTTACTGAACCTTCATCTACCAGCACATACAATATCAAGTCATTTTAATTGCAATAAAGGAAGTTGATTTTTTACATCGAAATTGGAAAACGAAGGTAAACATGCTGCTGTACAGTACTTCTGGCAGATATTTTACGAATATGGATCATTCAATAAAAGTGTTTATCAATCCTATCGTGTAGATGCACTAGTGTTGATCATTAATAATATAGATTACAATACAGTAACGGTACAGTTTATATAAGTTATGGCATCAGAAGGAATATCTTTTAGTAGTGCCTGGTAAGAAGTTACTTCATGGCATGGCATTGAATGTCATACTTAAACATCAGCTGGTGTTGATCCTAATTGACTACAGCACACTACTATACAAATAACTGCAAGTTGTTAACCAGTATAAATTATCGTATAGTAAAACGAGCATCTTCTTAAGTAGCCTGTGGTAAGCAGTTACATCATGGCATATCGTTCAATAGAGTATTTTATTGAAGTCCAATTTCATACTTAACATGAACTGGTGTTGGTATTAATTGACTACCGTCAAAATAAAGCCGAGTTGTTGATCCATTCTGGCATAGTAAGGAGTTCATCTTGGTATATACGATATGCCATAAAATCAACTTTGATACTTTCATTGAATGTATGGTAACTTGACTAGATGAAATAGACTTCAAGTCAATCTTAACTGACATTATTACAAGAAATGAGCGATATGAGCATTCTTCTTTTTATAGTCCTATCTTAACTCCCTTGTTGTTTATTAGATTGATGGTATATTTTGGCTTATTATGCTTAAGTTTAGGTTGATTAAGGAAAAGTGTCAATTGACTACCAAATTAAGTAGGAGACATTCTTTTGTACAACCCAATTGGATTTAACTGACAAAATGCGAGAAAATAGAAAATCAAGAATAACATCAGCGCGATTACCCAGTGTCCATGATATATTTTGGGTACGTATCTATGTTTCATTTCGATTTTTTAAAACTCCCTTGAGATAGAACTCATGATATCAGATAGTATTCTTCTTCATATCGAGTCTACATACTCTTCTTTCCACATCCTTGAAGCACCAGTAAGGCAGATAAATACAAGCAACTTTTATTCACCATCTAGATCCATTGCTTTTATTTCTGTATTGAAATCAAAATTATTTGTGTGCGTCATGGTACAACTGTAATAGTTATTCGCACGTAAATGATAAAGGACAATAATTCACTTGGTCGAAATTAGACGGTAGAAACGATAGTATCAAATACGCACACAGCAGTATAAACGTTCTTGAAAAACATCCAAGACTTGTTTACCACTAGCATAAATCTCTAGTAAACGATACTGTAATAAGGGACATGAACTAAATATTCTAAGTAACCTGATTTTGATTTGTCCAACGATCGTATGAATTCAACTCGATTCATGTAGCAATCTGATATCCATAGAATCGCTGATTTGTCACGAATTTTACAACGAGTATTGTAATACAGTACTTTGCTCTTCATCAACATAATTCATATCGCCAGTTCAAAATTGCTTAGTGAACTCACCGAGAAAGAATCATAGGTAGTATTTATTAACGCATCTGGTACATCTTTATTGATAATCTTTATCCTGAACAACGTTATAATATCTTAATTAAAAGCATGTATCACAAATAGTACACGAAGTTAAATTCAATAGACAATGTATATATATGAACTAGACATAAAATAATTGCTACAATGTTACAAGCTACTTTGATATTTTTCTGATTCAAAATTTTAGGCAGCCAAATCCGGAGATATTGAACTTATAGAAAAATGTTACAAATCCTCCAATATCAGCGAAATACAAGCAAACGATCGATTTGACCGAAGGGGATTCGCACCATTACATTACGCAGCACAACAAAATGAAACCGATATGATTCATTACCTATTGGAAAATAAAGCAGGTATCCGTCATGACGGTTATTTCTACATTCTATCAATTCCAGCTATCAATATTATACAGTATTCCATAAATTTCTTCAATCAGCTACCGTTCTTGATCCCGCCGTTTAAATTATATTTTTTTCTCTAAAATCAAGACATGCACTCTTCTAATTAACCTCATGCAATGCCTGTATACGTATTTGCTCTAACACAGTGTTTATTCATTTTCATATTGTCTAGATGTCAATATTCGAGGTTATGATGATTTAACCCCTCTTCATGTTGCTGCTAAATATAATAGCCTAAGCGCTGTGCGCGTTTTGCTAGATAATGGTGCAGAAGCCGATGCAAGGGACATTGATGATAGCATACCATTACATGAAGCGGTCAAAATGGGTAATTTAAAA